TCTTGTGCGTCCCACTTTCTTTATTTTATTTTTGGCAAATTCGAGCAGACCAATTCCAAGCCAAGAGTTGGAATTGAATTGGTTGGAATTGGAATTAGTGCATCCCTACTTACTCATCAACCAAGTTTATCGGATATAATTAATTGGTGAATTATATTTTTCAAAAATCTTTTAAATCAGGTCACAGCATAATTAAGAAGGTGAAATTCGATACCCACAAATGCAAATGGTGGCAGCTTTTCTGCATGATATCCCAACAACCAAATACGGAAACAATTTTTATCAGATTCAATGTTCAACACATACTATATGTCCATGATTTGTGCCGTTTTAAATAATCTGAGGCAGATCTCTCATATAAATAAGTAAACTCTGAAATAGCGAGGATCGGTATATCGTGACGCACAAATCGCAGATTACCAAAAAGAGTCATGTAGAAAATCAGATACATGTGAGAATGATTTTCTTCAAATTTAATAGTACAATTCGAAAAAAAGACTGGAAATGTGCTTATGATGAAATTTTGGAAGTTTTTAGTGGATATTCTTAAGGACAAGACAAACAACTTGTAGAGTCTTGCTGTTAGGAATAAGGGTATGATCGATTCAATGTTGTGAGAACAAACGGGTACTATGTGACTAGACGCTCTGACACTCTGACCGATAGTATCTACCTGCTCACTCTATCTCCTATGCATCCTTTTCTCTGCTCCTTCTTTTTTTCTGCTTTCTTCTCTTGTATATCAGTCCGTGCTACGTGTGAGACAGAAACAATTGAAGATTTGCAGTAGTGGGATAAACGTCTATACTGGGCTGAGCGGCAATGCTACCCTTTTTATTTATCAATGTGGTTCATAATAAACGTACATTGTAGTAGTAAAAATATGTAACATAATCTCCCTTTCTTCATTCTTGTTACAATCTTATTTGATTCAAAACAAAAACTCGAATAGTGCACTTTATAGATGTTGATCAGCTCCATGAAACCAACTCTACTTTATAGCAAATCTCCAAAGACCATGTCTAACATCAGTGACTTTGTCAAATAGATCTTCTGGATGATTCTTATATATTGTAACCGAGTTAATTTTTTTATACTAAACAAGAGCCTGAGCTAAGCTTGAGCTGTGGCCAAAATCAGATGACTTCTTCAGATCAGCTAAATTTTCGAGTGATTTATTGAACCGATGCGACCCACTCTGATCGACCTCTTAGTTTTTTTCTCAATATTTTGATGTTTGAAAGAAAAATCTCTTTAAAGGATCTATTATTCTCCATGAGAAAATGTCGAAATACTATTTTGCTTTTTGACAAGAGAATTTGTGCCAATATCATTCGTTTGGTAATTGAACAGAAATTGTTCGGATATTATCATGAAAATACTAAAACATATCCACGAATCGGGAATAAAATGGGATCTGAACCAGTTGTTCACTCTGTATTTTCTATGATCATCAAAATAAAATCATCCAATACGTGAAGTTTTGAGATCGGTTCGTGCCAGACTGTTTGAGTGAGATATAAAACTAGAAAATTGAAGGATTTCTTCAACAATGTACGGTCATCACTTGACAAGCAACTGCCCAATAATGGATTATATGTCTATATTTCATTATTCAAAGTGCAATGGTATTGCTATTTTCTTTCTACACTTGACATTTTGTGTTTATTTATAATTACGAGAGAGAATAGTAAAAATATCCGGCCTGTCTCTACTACCGATCTATACGAGAATAAGTTACAAACAAATCCATTATAACAAAAATAATAATATGACATTCACAGAAGAATATTTTTAGATGTTAGCAATCAATCCAGCTGAAACTTTTTCCACAGTAATATCCCACGGGAAAGAAGTTTGATTTATTTAAAGTACGATATTCTTTTCAAAGTTGCTAGAAATGTAAATTTTCTAGTTATCAGTTTTAATCTCAACTCAGTCAATCAACAGTGGTAATTTATTGTTAGCATGCACTCTAAAAAAAATAGGTTTTTTACAGAACCTAAAAAAGGTTCTTATCATCGGTACACCGTCAGATCCTTTTTTGGTTTTGTAAAAGTGAGGTTTCGTATCAACCCCCTTCACGAAAATTCAAAAAAAGGGTTTCGTAGCAATGGTTTCGTACAAAACCTTTTAGAAATCATTCAAAAAAAGGTTTCGTACCCGACAAAGGTTCCGTTAAAAATATCATTTAACCCTCTGTTGCCGCCCGCGGTATGTACACTATTCGAGTATTTCTCAAAACCCGAGTACCGTATACATCAAATGAATCAAAAGTAAGATGAAATAGTCTACAGAGTAATTTTCTGCATTCAAGGAAAATCATTCTAAAGACTATTTCATCTTACTTTTGATTCATTTGATGTATACCATACTCGGGTTTTGAGAAATACTCGAATAGTGTGCTTACCGCGGGCGACAGCACAGGATTAAAGCCAAAGTCGCCCGTGATTTCCATAATTGAAACAACCTAAAATACGGAAACGAATAAATATAATCATTTCATAAGATCAAACTTACTTCAGTATTCTTTTACTTGAAACAATCTGAAATACACAAATTAGCGAAAATTTATTATTTCTCAAAATCAGACTTACCTAAAACTCCATATTTATATTAACCTAGAATTACAAAAAAGAATAATTCTTTGATTTGCGAAGAGAGAACTTACCTAAAACTGCGTTTAAGCATCAACCTAGAACCAAAAACAAAACAAATATATAAAATTATACTTGATCAAACTCACCTGAAATTGCATCTTTGCGGCCTTCTATAATTAAACAAAACCAATTTTTGTTATTTTACGAAATGAAATTTACCTGAAACCTTCTATATGAGCGACTCAATAACGAAGAGAAAAATTATTCTCTTTCATTGCATCAAACTTACCCCAGACTTTAGATCAGAGTTGAAATAAAACGTCTACCTTGTGAAATTTGGACTCCAGATCGACCAATTTTCTCCACCATGAAAGCTCGGAGAGAAAAACTGATAACGGATTTGGACTCAGGGACCCCGATAAGCTATAGGAAAGTTTGACATGTATGATAAGCCTGTGAAAAGTGTATTGCAAAAACTAAGAAACCTTGAGATAGCCGACGAAACGGGCGCTGGTTTGGTCGGTATTTTAGAAAACCTTAAAGCACACTAGAAAGGGTGAAATAGTTGGGTAGAAATAATACGAAAATTTTGGATCGTGAACAAAAATATCAGTCGGTTGGTGGAAAAGATTCCAAACCTCGAGAGTGTTTACGAAACTTTCAATGGTTTGGTACAAAAATATACGAAACTTTGACATGGATAATAACGTGGGAATCGTTCAGCTCAAAAAGTACGAAACTCTCGAATGTTCTACGAAACCAGCAATTGTTTTCCAGAAAATATTCCAAACCTTTTTACAGTTTAGGGAACCAGCTATGGTTCCGTGGACATATTACGAAACCTTCAGCCAACCAGAAAGTGTCGAAAAGTTCCGCACAGATAATAAGAAACCTTCGGCTCGTTCACGAAGCCAACAGTGGTTCGGTGGGTATATGAAGAAACCTTCTGCCATTTCACAAAACTATCAGAGGATTTGTACATGACGTACGAAACCACAAGCCACTTTACGGAACCTTCGAAGAGTTCAGGCGAAAATTGCGAAACCTGATGAAATCTGCTGAACTTAAAATAGTTCTGGCAGGATACCACGGAACGTTTTTCACTCTACGGAACTTAAAATCGTTCGGTAGAGAAATACGGAACTATTAAGGTTCGGTAGAGTACCGATTTTTGTTTTAGAGTGTGCTCTTGGTTCAAGAATTTTCACCAAATATTTATATCTGGTAAGAATCAGAATATGAACCTAGATACAATTGATTACATAATTCTTACGAATATCGAAGAAAACGTCTCTCGTTTTTCATTCTAGCTAGCGTCATATTCAGATATTTAGATGGAAATTTTCGATGAAAATAAGGGGTCAGAAAATAGCCTTGTGAGCGTACCTGCGAAGTTTTCGCATCGATGTTCTGAAAGAACCGTCCAGATCTTTAACATGCTCACAACTGAATTCAGATTGTTTTCATGAATAGGTGTGCAAACTGAATCTCATGGGAAAACAATGATTACATTAATACACAAGGACGAGAATTCAAGCTATTTTGAGTTCTACATACAATTCGATGGGACGAAAGCTATTAGAACTCTTCGAGCTATATCAATATTAGTCTGAATTTTGATAGAACATTGTTCAAATCTCTATTTGAACACTCCTTATTATGAAAGAGGATACAAAATTACAATTTTAGACATATGGTATTTCAGGTTCAATGATAATTTTTAAGAAGACACTCGGACGAAAGTACTTGATGGCGAAAGTAGATTGATATGTAATGCTTCATAATGTTGAGATTTCAACTTGAACACTTGAAAAGAAAACACAGCCGTTGAAATTTTCTATTACAAACAGAACATTGTATAAAAATGCAGCCTTGGGCATTCTCTAGAACAAAATGAATATGCAAAAAAAAAATCCTTCTATATAACTTCCCAGCGTAAACGATCGGATATTAATATTTGATAAGATTCTGCATCTGATTTTATATGATCATGTAAGATCCTACTGTATCGTATGATATGACTCTAAAATCATAGAAAATCTTACGAAATAGTAAGATTTTTCAAGCATATTATTGTAAGACTTCAGAGACGACGATTTTTCGTACGGTCCTATCTGGTTTCGCCAGATCTTATACTATCTGATTGTTTCATCAGGTAGCCAATCTTAAGCAAATTTCTCTATTACATAGCTGTTCACCTCCAGCTTGAATCATCTCAGCTGTAATACCATCTGAGCCCGGACGTTTGTTTTATTTTAGTGTCCGAATTGCTTCTTCTACCTCCGAATATAGGGTGTCTTGAGGATCTTCTTTGTATGAAGGGAAGATACCTTCGAGCTCCTTAACCATCTCGTCTCCTCCGCCTTCGTCCTTATATAGCCCACTGCAGTACTGTGTCCATCATTGTTCCACGTCCTCTTTTGATTGTTGCATTGTACCATCTTGATTTCTTATCATCGTTATTCGTGGTACAAAATTATTTTTCAGTGTCTTTATCAAGCTGTAGGCTTGTCTAGTATTTCCAATTTTTAGTCCGTTTTCAGTTTCATCGCATTTATCTTGGATCCAGTTATCTTTGCCCTGTCGTGCCAATTTCTTTACTTTGCTACACAAGTTTTTATATAGCTGGCCGTTTTCTGCTGAAACGTTCTTTATTTGTTTCATCTTACGTTTTTCGTCGACTAGGTTGAGGGTTTGTTCTGAGATCCACGATTTTTTGGCTCTCCTTGTAGTTGTGACAGTTGCTTGTAATGCATCTTTCATTGCTTCCTCGACCTTCGCTGCATGTTCTTTTAGGTTGCACTGTGTATCTATGTCTTGGAGTCTGTTGACTACTCTAGTTAGATAGACTCCTCTCACTTTCTGACTCTTGAGCTGACTTACATCAGGTCTGTGATGCTGTTGCGGCTTGATGCATCGCCTTTTCAATCTTATCTTGCTGTTGCATAGCACTAGTGAATGTTCTGAGCTGATATCTGCGCTTTGAAATGTTCGACAATTCGTGACTGATGATTTCCATCTCTTTTGTATCAACACTAGGTCAATCATATTCTGGTGCACGTCATCTGGTGATGCACATGCCCATTTTCTATTTGCTTTCTGTTGAAATCGTGTATTGCAAATATATAGATTGTGTAGTGCTGCGAACTCTAGGAGTCGATCTCCCCGTTCATTTCGATCTCCATATCCATATCTACCAACCACTGACTCCCAGTGTGTATTATCACTCCCAATTTTCGCATTCCAATCACCAGTTACGATTATTATATCCTTTTTAGGCGTTTTTGTTAGTGCATGCTCGATGTTATCGTAGAATATTTCGATTTCATCATCTGATGATGCTGATGTTGGTGCATATACGTGCATTACTGTGAGTTTGAATGGTGTTGCATTGAATCTAATAGTGATTAGTCGCGAACTAATCGGATTGTATCCTATTAGCGTCTTTTTTCCTTTTGTACTTAATAGCATTCCTACACCTCTGGTGTGTGTAGTGTCTTCTCCTGACCAGATGAAATCACCACTTAGTGTTTCTCCTTTTCCTGTCCAATGTACTTCAGATAGGCCGATTACATCGAATCTGAAACGTTTCATTTCATTTCTTAGCAATTCTAATTTTCCTGTTGTCCATAATGTTTGAACGTTCCAGGTACCCACTGTAAGTGTGTCTTTCCAGTAGCCAATTTTCGATTCCGTCCTGGTTACTCGACAGAGGATGCGGACCTTGTTCACCCGGGCGACGTCCGAGTCGGTACGGTTTTCGGTTATCGTCATCGTTTATGGTTGGTTGCTTTCGTCTTTTCTTTTTGACAGACGGCGGCATCTGCACTCCTTCCGTCTAACGCTCCTCCTTTTTTCGGACTTGCGACCGGCACAGAGATCACTGGATTGTGGTCCCCATGGTGGAGTTATATATTTTCATACATTTGTTAATCAAGGCAAATATTACCAAGAGAAGAAAAACAATAACTAGAATTAAATCAATGCCCATGTCGTGAAAATCGCCGTGATTTTGGTGATTTATCAAAAAATGAACGTAAAATCGTGATTAATCGAATTACATAGAAAAATCGGAGATAAAATCAGATTTTATCGTGATATTGAAAAGAAACTCGATTAATCGTAATCGTACAAAAATCGGAATGATTAATCGCGATTGATCGTAATCGCAGAAAAATCAGAATGATTAATCGCGATTAATCGGTAATTTCGTTTTTTTTAAATGAAGATTTTATTTATCTTCACCTTTTGAAATGAGGATTTTATTTTTTTATTTTAATTTCATAAATATAAATATTTTTTTTACATTTATCGTTTCTTATAAGTGAATAATAAAGATAAATTAATACCTATGCTCATAATCGCCTGTCTGTTAGACATTAAGAGAAAAAAATTTGAGAAAAATTTTCTTCACTGCTCCGTTTAATTTATATAACGTTTTCAAACTAAGACAAATATAGTTAGTCTAATGGATAATACACTGGTCTTTCTAGCTGAGGTATCGAATTCGTCTCTAAGAGATAGCAGATTTAATATCTAAATATGATATCAGATAACACGGATCAAGATCTAGGTGTAACTCTCACACAGTCTAGAGAAGAACATAAGAAAAAAGGTTCCCGAAAATGTGGAATTCATTTTGTTATACATTTTCTTCTTAAAAAAACGTTTTCTATGATTATTTTTCAATATTATAATATTGAAAAAAATCGACGATTAATTGGCGACTTTTTAGCGATTTCTCCGACATGGGGTGCGCACAAGAATCGAATTCATTTCATTTTCATTGTGATTGAAATCTTTCCAAATAAAATATAATAATGCATGAATCAAAATTTTAAAAATTAGATTTACCAAAACTCAATTACTCAAGACTTACACACTATCGAACATAAGATAAACATCTATTTCCTATTATTATTATGAGACAACGATGGATAAGATTGATATTACATATTTATTTATTTATAATAGTGAGTCAAAAACGAAAACTATAATCACAACAAAAATAAAAGTGCATTCTTACAATTTTATTGTTCAACCCCATTAGACCTCGAATATTTTCGATTGTCGTTCGATACATAATGGCTGTCTTTTTCTTGACATAATGCGCTACGAGTTTTGCCGTTATCATTCATTAAAATTTCCACACTTTTTCGTCCCTTCGATGGAATTATGTTCAGTGATACATGTGCTTTACTTGAATTAGACTCTAATTTTGGCGTTGACTTCGTATGTAGAACACAGGTAGCACGTGCAAAACGTCGATTTTGAGGCTTTAGACAATGTAAACCGATCAAAATTTCTCTCATTTCAGTCAGAAATATATTTCGAAATTTTTTCCCAGCTAAACAATATAGGAAAAAATTAAATATATGCGGTAAATCAGATAGTATATCTTGTAAAAGGTTCGAATAAAATCCAAAGTTATATAATGCTATGTCACGATCGCTAACATCGATACAAGTTCGTCCATATAATATTTTTCTTGTATCATAAATTTTAACCATAATAGAAAATAATGTATTTGGAATATTGCATGCTATTAATGATAATGTTACAGCTAGAAGCATGCGAGTAACTTGTGCATGTGCACGTCGTTTATTGGCTAGTATTATATCTATTGTTGTTAATGTTGAACCACCGGAACAACGTTGACGGAGTGAAGCTGCTGATATTTGATGATTCAAAACACTTGGATCAGGAGTTCGTTTATTCAACTCTTCCGACGTTCGCCATTCATACGACGTACGATGCAATACAGCGGCAATGACAACATTAGCAGCTACGATTAAGCCTAAAAACAAATGAATAGTTTATAGAGAACGATAAAAATAGATTAGTTGTATGATTTTTTTGGGGTAAATCGTTGATTGAATCATTTTTCTGTGATGTTAAATAGCTCCGACATTTTCTTCTAGGAATGATTACGATGACAGTCTCAAGACTAGTAGACAACCGTCGGATAAAAGAAGTCCAGTGTTGTTGTTATGTCAGGAGATATCTCTCCTGACATAAGGAGACTCAATGTTGGTATGATATCATCACTGTACATCAATGGCATTCTTACTCATCTTTCTCAATGACTCTTTCATCATGGATAACGAACGATAAAGAATGAAATAAGAGAAAGAGAGAGAATTACATTCTTTGTTGCTTTTCTTGTTTGTAGATTCATTCGCTTGTTTGGTTTTGAAAAGAAAGGAATAAGAATAATAAAGANAACGATAAAGAATGGAATAAGAGAAAGAGAGAGAATTACATTCTTTGTTGCTTTTCTTGTTTGTAGATTCATTCGCTTGTTTGGTTTTGAAAAGAAAGGAATAAGAATAATAAAGAAAACGAGAAAAGGACCTAACAGTTGTTGTTGTTGTTTCATGGGCCACCCTCGTTTCCGCGTTTTATTTATAATCTTAGCAGAAAACATCAAATTTTGTATTTAGAACTAGTACACTCCTACATAACCGGATTATGGAAAATTTTTCGATGAAATATATTTTATTGTGGTTTTAAAAATTATAATAGTATCATAATGTCACCTATGATAAATACAAAAATTATCAAAGGACCTATACTCATTTTCTATTATTATTACTGATATAGACTTTCCGTCTTGAGTTTCGAGAGATTCAAGTTGTGCATCGTTGGTGCAATTTTAGGCAATTGATATTCTCACTCAAATTTTGATACAGTAATTTCATATATTGAGAACGCGGATAATAACATAGATGGAAATCAATAACTCGGCATTCATGAGAACAGTTGCGTAGTTATTTTCACGCAACAGCTGTCAATGTATTATGACAAAATTTGGTAATTATATTCGCAATAATTCTAAGAGAAAATATCAAATTAGATTTGTAACAAATTCATAGAGAAATATACTCATCATTAAAAAAATTCAGTTTTAAATCAAACAATAGTCATTGCAAGCTACGTACGTATTTAATCAAAAATTAAGTCAAATCTATAAATTGTACTATTGAGTACGTAGAATTCATATCTTGTTATTTGTTTTATTCATTTCTCATTTCAAAACTCGGCAACTATTTGTCGTAATCCGAAATGGCCCTTGAGAGTATTGGCGGATACTACAGTTTTAGTTATATCAAGGCCAAAAAAATCAATAAGATCTTTTACTGCATCTTATGTTTTATTACATTTTGACAATTCGTATCGTTCAGAGTTTGAAAATGCTCAACACAGTTTATCTATTCTTATTCAATAAGGTTAATATCTTTCGGTTTTCATCAAAACTTACTATATATTGTAACTGTCGTGTAATTTTATCTTTTGCATCTAGAGAAAACAAAATATCTACGTACATCCTGTAATGATGTGCTGCTACTATACTTCCGGATAAGTCTAATCACGAGGGAGTAGCCCTTGTGTCTTCAGATATTTGTTTGACTGTATTCTATATAAAAAAAACGTCTATTATGTAATGTTGATTTTTTAATAGCAAATATCTCTAGCGACGAGCTATGTAGCATTTATTGTCATTTTCTATGTAATCAATTGTAGGACATAGTAAAATGATGAAATCAACGAAGATATGATAGATTGATACATACTCATCGGCAAAATTGAAGCAGTGAGTAAGTCAATAGCAAATGCTTGGTCTTCTAAGCCACATAATTTACGTTGAGTTGATCTTGAGAGACTTATTTTCGATACATTAATGAACGATAAATTAGCTAACACTAATACAATAATAGTAATCCAACAAGCATACAAAGCTCGTTTATGTGTTAGCCATATACTCGCTTTCAGTGGATAACTCACAGCAACAGCTTTATCTCTTCAAAAGAAACAAAAATATTCAAAGTAATTTATCATCTTTGTTTATAAAGAAACATTTACAAGCTCATTAAAACAATCGTCCACATTGAAATTGAAATCGATGCATTCATTAATACGTATATTGCTTTACATATTATTGGAGTTAATAAAAATATCGTATGACCTCTTTCGCTCGATTGATAATTCATTTCTGCTCGAACAAATTTAAGTACAATTGCCAATATATCAAATACTGCAAGAAAACGTAAAAACAGAATTGTAGTTGACTTATTTGATAATCTCCGTCGGCTTAGAATGAAAAGACAAAGTATATTGAGTATTACACCTGGTCCAACAAGGAAACGTAAATATGTTGCGGTCAGTAATTTGAAAAATAGATAACCCGGTGTATAAACACGCTCCTTTAATGAGCAGCTATTCGTTAATATCAATGGTTGGTTAACTGTGAAATTCATTGGTCTGAAATGAAAACAGGTACAAACAGATTTACTCAATAGAAAACAAACGGGAAACAACGAAACTTAAGAGAAAAAATTCATTAAATAACAATAACTATACGTTTTGTTATCATTGTCTTTCTTACTTAACCGAAACGGCGTAGTACAAAAACAACAGATATACTAACTAGATAGACGTGCTATTCACTAGCTTTTGACTGTTCTCCTTTCTGATGAATGGCATGATCAGCCTACTGATACTGTCACCACAAAAAGCTTTGCTTCAACGTCGCCTGTCGAAAACTCTTAGTATGTATGTGTGTAGGATATTTTCATTCTGGATTAATCGTTGATAACTATTCAATATAGAGATATAGAGTCTGGTGTCCTAATTCTGCCGGAAAAAAAAACATCTTTTGTATTTTTTGTATAACTCGAGTTGTATACATGTTAGAGAATTAATTTTTTGTTTCCGGAATAGCCCAAACATTTCTCTATCGAATGACATAAAATTTGTTAAAAAATAATTTACCGGTAATTCACAAGTAGCGTGAAAATAGAGGAGGGGTCGAATTTAGTTGAATTTTCATGTGTTCCTTATTCAGCCGCCCCATGTATTTTTTTTTCCTAATTCTGCCGCTTGCATTGAGAATGGAAGAAAATTTTAGAAAAAGTCCATTATTTTTCTGAAAAATATAGAATTTCAGAGTAAAAAATATATCACTCAATTCGTCTTGACACGGGCTATTCACTGATATATTTTTCTCTAAGATTTGTAAACATATAAGATGTTTTTTTAGCTATGAAATAAAAAAAAATGACCGGCAGAATTTTTTCCTGTTCCTAATTCTGCCGCTCCATACAATTTATGTTCCTAATTCTGCCGAATCAATGTAAAATACATAGAAGTATCAAAGATGAACTCGTGGCCGCTACCTCGAATAGAAAAAATCGTTACAATTCTTATACCATTCGATAGCTCTACTCGAGAGCTACATAATCCTATGAGGTGAGCACAATCGAACCTAGTTCGGCATGATTTTTCTTCAAAATATCTTTCAGATAAGGACAACTACATTCTTACCCACATATCTCCAACAAAATCGAATTTCGCAACAAAATAAATAGCATATTCGGAATCAGCTCCTAAAACTACATCAGTTGGGATATTTACGAAAAAAATTTGTTTTTTTCGCGAAATATCGACCTGAGGGGGACCACAGGCAAGTGATATAAAAAGTACTGAGGGGGACCTCAGGTCAATGTTTCGCGAAAAAAATTTGTTTTTTTCGTAAATATCTCAACTAATGTAGTTTTAGGAGCTGATTCCGAATATGCTATTTATTTTGTTGTGAAATTCGATTTTGTTGGAGATATGTGGGTAAGAATGTAGTTGTCCTTATCTGAAAGATATTTTGAAGAAAAATCATGCCGAACTAGGTTCGATTGTGCTCACCTCATAGGATTATGTAGCTCTCGAGTAGAGCTATCGAATGGTATAAGAATTGTAACGATTTTTTCTATTCGAGGTAGCGGCCACGAGTTCATCTTTGATACTTCTATGTATTTTACATTGATTCGGCAGAATTAGGAACATAAATTGTATGGAGCGGCAGAATTAGGAACAGGAAAAAATTCTGCCGGTCATTTTTTTTTATTTCATAGCTAAAAAAACATCTTATATGTTTACAAATCTTAGAGAAAAATATATCAGTGAATAGCCCGTGTCAAGACGAATTGAGTGATATATTTTTTACTCTGAAATTCTATATTTTTCAGAAAAATAATGGACTTTTTCTAAAATTTTCTTCCATTCTCAATGCAAGCGGCAGAATTAGGAAAAAAAAATACATGGGGCGGCTGAATAAGGAACACATGAAAATTCAACTAAATTCGACCCCTCCTCTATTTTCACGCTACTTGTGAATTACCGGTAAATTATTTTTTAACAAATTTTATGTCATTCGATAGAGAAATGTTTGGGCTATTCCGGAAACAAAAAATTAATTCTCTAACATGTATACAACTCGAGTTATACAAAAAATACAAAAGATGTTTTTTTTTCCGGCAGAATTAGGACACCAGACTCTATCATCTTTCGATTCCTATGATGATACAAATGAGTGCATTCACTCACTAGTTTGGTTAAATATGGGTATAGAAAAAAGACTAGTCGCAATTCTAACAATGAAAATAAAACAAAAAACAACAGACTCGATTTTCCTTTCTGCTCGATGTCCTCTTGTTCTATGGACGAAGAAAGGAAAATATTTATAGGCAGTACTTCATTTGTATCGGAGACAATAAAGATAATAGAAAGATTTTTCTTTTGTCTTATTGTTTTGTTCTATAAATAAAGCACTGTTTCAATATTTTATGTATAATAGTTCAAAGAATAGCGACGATTTAGTTCATATAATATCAACTAGAAGCTTCAACTACAATACGATTATGAACTAAGAGAATAGTAAAATTATTTTCTTATAGTCGGCTATGCCGATCTCGTGGTAATTCAACAGTCATATTTAGACTTTGATAAAATGAACCATCAGAGGCAACGTAATCAATTGATGAAAATAGTTTGATCTAATCACTTATAGTCTATAAATTCATACTTCGCCTTTACTTAATGTTAATACTATTGTGGATTGTTTCCAATCAAAGTATGGAGTTAATAAAAAGACGAAAAATGCTAGTTTTGTTTATTACGACCTAATCATTATTCTGAATAAACGACGTAAAAGAGAAAAAAATGAGTCGTATATTATTTCGGAATGTAGTGAAAAGCTGTGTTCATTCAATTGAATAGCGTTGTTTAGTATTACACATTTAGTTGTCTATAGTCTATTAGATTAATCATGTGGATGCATTTTTTCTGCAGAGTTTTGCATTCGAGTGAATAATCGTTAAAGTGTATGAATTTAGTAGCTCTTATCTTTTGATGTTATTATTCAAAATTATTTCTATGGCATTTAGCAGAAAAAAACAATCAATTATGCAAATGATTTGCATATTCTAATTTTGGGGGAAACAATTTTGTTCGTAATACTATTCTCTTTTTTGTCTTAATCTCATATCATCATATATTTTTACTTCTCTGCCGCTCAGTAAACAACAAATAAATACTTGTACTAGGATGTATACTCTGTTTTCGGTTATATTTGACGATTGATGAATTCCTTCAACATTAACCATCCTGTAGAAAGGTTGATGTAGTATGATGACTGAAAAATCTTACAGGTTACACGAAGAGTACAAAGTTAAAATATATTCTCTAGAATAGACAATACCATTCGAGCAATGTGTAGCAACTACACTAGCAAATAAACTCCTTGTATTAAGTCGTCTCATTCAAAACAACGGAGAAAAAAGCTATTAGCGCTTCGAAAAACAAACACGATAGTTACGATATTTGATTCATATCGCAATTAGACATTATGACATAACAGTCGGTATTGTTTTTGTTTTGTGTTCTAATATTGCAACTGTCTGGAGTTAAAACATTTGAATCGTTAGAAATTCGAATGCAATTAAATGTTTTGATCGGAACTAAATGGAAAAGAAACCATTTAATGAGAAATCGAGGCGCTCGACCAGAAGACAATGGAGAACATTTAAAGGAAAAAAACAGTAGAAGGTCTGGCATTCTTGCTACCATGTTGCATTACACCAGTCATTGTGTTACATGACAGTAACAAGCGGAAAATAGAAGAGGCTGTAAACAATTTGTAATATAACGTTTAACGGTTATTATGTATCTGTCGAGCAGAGACTGGTTATTTTTATGCTAATCGATAACAATTGTGAGAAACGTACGTCTTCTGTTCTAGATAAATCATTGTAACTGTTTGTCCAGCTTATATTCGATAATATAATCATCTGCATACCATGTCTCGTCTATATACGCTCTCTAGTCTTTATAGCAAGGAGGAAAAGCGTATTTCTGTATTTCTAAATATTCCTGAGTATTTCGTTGTATTTCTGGAGTTCTGAAATACCTCGAAATACAGAAATACGCTCCCCCCCCCCCCTTGTTTTATAGTCTACAACTGTGACCAATCATCATTCATTCTGTCAACTATTCAGACAATAAAAAATATAGTCTTGTCCCGATCAACAATGTATAGCCAAGGTTACAATGTCAACGCAGAATTCCAGGGGGGAAAACGCTGCTCATTGATCCAGGTGGATTCTATAGAATTCATGAGAAGCTGCTTTTCCCCCCTTGTATAGGCAGTTTACCATTTTTATAGTTCTCACTAGTCAACCAGAAAAAACATGAATAGTGATGCACTACTAACGAGCGCACTGCTTCGACTGACAGATTTTATTTGACCTCATAAATCTAACCTATCCTTTCGGATGAAAGCTTTCGTACCCGTATGTCGCCATATTGGAGACAAAATCATTTTCACTAAATGTTTACCATACCGCTAGATATTACTAACGAAAGAACAACTATAATTTTGTAAATAACCTTTTATTTACTGATGATAGATCTCGTGGTACTTATGACATCCTGAATTATTTTTAATTGGGCGAAATATCAAAATCTAGACTATGTATAGAAACTAGTTGCTAGCATAAATAACACACATATCGGTTGAAACTAAAAGTATTAATTTAAGATGAGTATGCTAAAGTGAGCTAAGAATAAAGCTTGAGGCAAGAATTCATTATCGAAACCTTTCATTATGATGCCCTGTGACATGCTGAAGTTTCAGTGAAACGATTGAGCACGACCAAAGAGGCCCGGGAATAAGAAAGCTCTTAGAATATTCATCTGGATAATAAATCATATTTACGAGTAAATATAAACTCATAAGTAAAGACCACCAGTACTTTTAATTAATCTACAACGTCTATTACTCATGTTAGTATGCAAAACAAAACAAAGTCCAGAAAAAGTAACTTATAATCGAGTATAACATAGAATTATTTACATAGCGTCTCAGTTATTGTAGCAACTATCTAATATTGTATATATATATTCAATTTAAATGAATAGAAAACAAAAC